TGTGTGTTTGTGTGTCTGTGTGTGCGTGTGTGTGTATGTGTGTGTATGCGTGTGTCTGTGTGTGTGTTTGTGTGTGTGTATGCGTGTGTGTGTCTGTGTGTCTGTGTGTGTATGCGTGTGTCTGTGTGTGTATGCGTGTGTGTGTATGTGTGTCTGTGTGTGTGTGTGCGTGCATGCGTGTGTGTGTGTGTGTGTTGAACAAGGCTCACATCGTATACTCCAGCACCCGCAGGCTTCTGTACTTCTCTAAGCATATCACCCAATCTCATAGCTTCATGTTTTTTGATGAACATAGTTTTCTCTTAGCTCCAATGTTTTCCCCACCTGACAGGCTCCTATTTCTCCTTTAATTTGAGCTTACATGCTCGGTTCTTTCCATTCCCAGTCCTCACCGTCTTGGGAGAATGCAGGCCTTCTTTGGAATCCCCATTCAAATTCAGACTTTGAGTCACAGTCAACTTTTGCAAGGATTTTGTGAAATACTTTTCATCTGCATCCGACCTCTGCTGTGTCGGATGCAACAGCATTGCCTACTGCACTACAAGCTGCTTGAGGGCAGGAGGTGCTTCTTAGACTGTTGTGCTGAGCCATTGTCGGAGAACACTAAAATACTGAGTTAGAGTTGTAATGAACTCAGATAATAAACATCATTTTTTAAGAGCTGATTTTCTAAAGAATGCTGCTATACACACGTTCTTAGGGACTGAATAAAAATGCCTGAACTCATATCATCAAAGATTATTAGAAGAAATAAAAATATAATTGAAAACATTTTAAAAATCACAATGGACTCACACAGCATGGGGGTGAAGAAAAGCCTTGCTGTAGCATCCTGGCAAGAATGGCTCGGACTCCTCCAGGAACGAGGAGGGCCCTGCAGTGCTAACAATTATGATCTTATAGATACATTGTTTTTGTTACAGAAGTTGTATCTTATGAGGAAACCGTAATGAACACTAAGACTGAATTTTATAAATAGGTCACAATGTTCAAAAATTGAAGATTGGTTGTAGCAATTAATATAGAAAGTAGCATGCAGACATTAAAATAATGCAGTAGCTGCATGTTCATGACAATTAAAGTGCAGGAGATCCCACTGAATAGCCACACTTCTCACAGTAAAGAATGATTTACTCTGGAGCCAGACACGAGTGACCATAGCTGAGGAAGACTGATTTGATTCGCCCCAAACACTGTGTTCCAATGAAGTAGCAATTTCTTTTGTTTTAATGCTAACAGATTTAAAAAAAAATCATAAATCAACACCCCCTTAAAATATAATTCTGGGTACATCAGGTAGGCAGTTTTGACAGAGTGGAGAAATCTCTGCTCTAAGCTTCAATGCTGTGTGGTGGCATTCTTAGCTGTTGGGTTGGTGGAAGGTAGGAGCCTATTCATTCAGTCCCAAGGGATTGACTTCATAGTCACAAGGATGTTAGGGCACATTCCAAGCTGGGCAATATATGCTAATTTAAAAGGCTAAGATAACTCAAAGAGAGTTCTATTCTGGATCTGCAACATTCCAACCTCTCCACAACCACTGAAGTTCTAATCCAGTCATCCTGGAAAAATGTCCATTGTAGGTAATGCTTCTTACCCAGAACTCCAGTGGGCAAAGCATCAAGATAAGAAACAGATTCTAAAGAAGCATGTGTGTATTATGATTCCATTCATAGCATGTGTCCAGCCTCTCAGAATAAAACAGAAATTACTGGATGCACTTCGGCATTCCACAGGAACCATTACTTTTGAGTGGTGTTTTCTATATTTTGTAAAATATCTTCCATAACCCTGTGCCCATCTGATAAAACTAAAAAAAGACATGATTTAACTTAACAATAATATAGGGTAATAGAACATCCCCTCTCTTGGAGGAGCCACTAACCCGAAGTGATGATGTTCCCAGGCTAAGCCACTGATGGTAAGGTGGGGCCGCTCCAGTGGCCACCTCCGATGGGAGCAGCCTGCATTGTGAGGTGAGCAGAGGAAGGCATGCATTGGGTTCTCAAAACAGTTCGCTTCCAGCTCCAGCTATTTGCCAAGAATGTGAAGAGATGACGCGGGTTCCTCCTCACTGCATCCCACCAGGACTATCCATTTGTCTTATGATTCACCAGCGAGGATGACTCTGGTGACATGAAAGGAAACAGGAAGTAAATCACAACTCTCGAACTCAGGGCGGTCTTGTGGAGCCACGGTTTGAGAATCTATTCCATTCATCAGCAGTCGTGCCATTGAATCAGTCAATGCCAACGTGAGTGTGTGGATTCTTATTTCACCAGTTGGATTGCTGGACATTGTAAATCCGTAGTTTCAGGTTTTCATGAGCTCGGTGTGACCAGTGCGAGCCTCTTCAGGCTGCTCTCTGTGTTTCTGTCACCCGTTCCCAAAGGTCTCAGGTACTTCTTATTTGTTGGCCAAGCCAAGTACCCCAGACTTATATGCCACTCTCTGTGCCAAGCCGGGAATCTGCTCTTTCTGGAGGTGGGAGAGGAGCAAGGTGGAGCTCAGACGCTAGGATCCAGCTGGGAGGTGTGCTCACTGCTGCAAGGCATTGCTGCCTCTGTGGGCAGAGTGAGGGAATTTATGTAGGTGTAAGCATGCGCACACTCAGTTCTATATAAACACTTGTAGGATACTGATTTCTTTATTTGCCCCATATACAGAAGAGTATGAGTTTACTCCAATATTCCCAATTCCACCAAAGTCACGATATTCAAACATTTTCATGTCTCTGTATTTATAATCGTACCCTAGTATGACACCACTGTTAATATTCTAGTTCTCATCTCATAAAGTCCCTGTATATAACAGGTCTCTTGGGGATAACACTGTCCTGCTCATTCCACTTGTTCCAAGGCCTCTGCTGGTATCTGTCAGCCAGACTTCTGTCACCGTCACAGTTGGAGGCCACACCAGCCTATAAAATGACTTCCAGGCTGGCCAGGGATATAGAGCAAAATCCTATCTCAAAAACTAAATGAAGCCAACAAATGAAACCAAAAGAGTACCTTTATATTTACAAGAAAACGATTGCAAAGGGGGTGCAGAAAGGTCACTTCTACCCCACATCTAATGGCATCTGCCATTACCTGTTCCAGCTAAGGAATAGATACTGAGAATTCCCCGATAAGCTCAAGCCTCATTCAATTTCAGGCTGGTTTGTTGTTGTGTTTTTTTGTTTGTTTGTTTGTTTGTTTTTGTTCCAGGATCCTTGCCAAGACATGCCATTTCTCTGTCAAGGTTCCTGAGGGTCCTATTGGTTGTGAAAGCTTTGAGTGTCCATTACAAATCTGGGAAGCCCTAGCTTTTTCTACACTGGACTCCAGGAGGGATTTATGTGACATCATGATTAGCCCTGGGTTATTCACTTGAGGAAAAAGACGGTAATGGAAAAGTACCATCGGCATGATCTGCCACCATCACTGCTAACCCTGAAATCTCCACGCTTGGCTCTGAGGTTTGGAAGGAAGTCCACCATACACAAGGCACAGTGAAAGAAGGGGTTTATGCCCCACCCTCTTGGAGGTCTACACCTCCTGAGACGACTCCAGATGCCTGAGCCAGAGAGTATATGCTCTCTCATTTCTCCCAGTTATTTCTGTCACCAAGGACCCGGAGATTCTTATTGTATACCTGGGATTTTATGAAGCTTTTGATTACGGGAACTCACTGGTTGCCTTTTGCCTGCCCATCTCCTCCACTCAGCTGGTGGCACTTGCCGCCACAGGACCACATTCCTGGCAGATGGACAGGTGTTTGAGAACACCCACTCTGAACATTGTTGTTTTCATACACTGTTACTTTATCCTCTGGAATGCCATTGGCCACATCTCGGAGATGAATTCATGTCATTGCTTGCGTCTTAACTTAATGACTGGCCGGAACTTCAACTCTTATTCATTTCCTTGGCAGTTTGGGAGCAGACCTCTCCCTTACTATATTTTATGCACTATCTGATATTTGTTAGCCTGTTGGTCTTTCTAACTCCATTATGGGGTATCTGGGATTCCGGCTAGTTCTCCCTCCTTCTCCTTTTCCCTCTTTCAATTTGAAGCAGTCATGTGTATAATCTACCTGATTCCAGGGATGAGGAACATGGCTCTGTGCCTCAAGAGAACTGACTTTTAGAAGCATTTTCTTGACTCCTTTTCAAAGAAGTGACACTAGGGATCTGCCATTCAAGGTATACGTGTGTGCTGTGAGTTGGTTTATTTTCTTCCTGCAGGGAGGAGGCTTTTCTCATCACCTGAATTTCCACGTGTAGGCGTGCCTGTAGATGAAGCATTTGTAAAGCAACCGGCCAGAGCTGAGGGCCCGGTCCCGAGCCAAGAAGAACTTCCCCCTGGATCTAGGGTCTCAATGGTAGACTGCCCTAACCAACGTGGCCAAACAGCTAGGCCACAAAGGAGGCAGACAAGAAGTCTAGCAATATAGACATACACTTTGCAATGCACAAAATAAGCCTGTGTTGACACAAACAAACCGCCTTCACCATTTTGACTGTCAGGTAGTCAAGAAAATATTTAAGTCAGTCAGGAAGCAGTCAAATTGGCCAGCAATCCTGTCTGCCTCTCTCCTCTCTCCAACCGTACCCTGTCTCCTGATTTCCCCGGCTCATGTTTTAGAAGCAGGCACGTTTGCCTGCCAGACGACGACGCTTTCTTTTTCACGGAAACTTAATGAAATAGCTGTTACATCCTATAAATTCACTTCCTTAACACTATGTGTCAGATTATCAAATCAGTTAAGGAAAATCCTCATCTTTTTTTCTCTTTGAAATTACAGACTGGCTGGTTGGATTCCTAATTCAGTGAGTTCATATCGCCATCTAGTGTTCAAAATAGGATTGTCATCGCCACTGCGGAGAAAATGTCAATCCTCCATTGGCAGCAAAAAGCAAGTTTTTTTTACTGGGCTGTATAGAAGGCTCATTTGGGCTAGTGTTTTTCGGTTTGGGGCTACTACTCAGTTAACTTGATATTTATGTTTTGATAGAATATCACACTACTGAGAGAAATGGTTTAGCTTGAAAACAATGCTCAAAACATAACCAGAAACAGTCCCTTTCCCTTTCCTCAGAGGGTAAGGATGAAATGATCTCCCAGGTCAAACCATCCTGTGGAAGGCAAATGACAAAGTTGCATGTTAGGACAAAGCAAAACTAAGACCGGAGGAGGGGTGCCATCTTACTTCTCATTTCTGTCGTATTTAAGACACAAAACCAAAACTGTGCACTGAGGAGAAAAAGCGCAACTCACAGACGGGAAAATACATTGTTTCCACTTGAAGTCTGCAGGTCCAGATCTGTTTATCTCAACCTTGGTTGTCCTCTATGCTTGCATAAAAACTGGACTGGTATTTTCAGACTAGTATTCACAGTTGTGGAGGGAAATGCACACAGAACCATTTCCGCTGAGGGCACAGACTGTGGAAGAGTCGTAAGTTTTAGAACTGAAGACAAAATCTTTCTGTTTCTTCTTCGCACACTGAAAGAGTTGAAGGCACTGTCATTTCCCTCCACGGGTGCATTGTGGTGGATCTAGAGCGCCATCTTACAGCGAGTGGCCGAGCTTGCTCTCCCAGTTTGTCTCAGAACTTCCAAAGGGCTGAGCTCATTCCTTCTGTCTGAGATTTCCAAGGCTTTGATGAGAGATGGCAAGACAAGAAGTAAGGATGGGAAATGGGCTAAAGGGGAGGAAGGAAGCTCCACACCCAGGGGGACTCAGAGTGCCTGCCAGCGACAGGCTGTGAAAGGCACCTTATGCAAAGTTTTTAACCCAGCTTTTTTACCCCTACAGTTACAGTTCCCCACAGAATGCAAAACTGATTGCCACTCTTAGCACCAATTCCATTTTAATGAAGCAACCCTAAACAGAATATCAGTAAATAAACTCCAGATAAAAGTTGCCATAGAGTTGAACAAAAATTCAGGATGCAGATGATTTATTATATGAGCAACTTTGTATTGCTTACAACTCATATATGATCCAGTGTTTTGCATTTGTTCTTTAAATTTTCTTATCCATCCTGTTCCATTTTGGGTAACTTTCAAAAACATCATTAGTAATTCAAATCTATATTTTATAATTACTTGCAACAAATAATTAGCATGTATTTTTAATATAATAAAGTATTAAGTAGCATTTTTGATTAATCAACGTGGACTATTGTTCTATGTAAAAAGTAGCTTCCTCACATTGTAAATGTTCTGACGATGATCACTCTCCGAGGAAATCTTGCATTTCTACGGATTGGAAAATTCCCTTAAAACTGAACTACGTATGACTTAATCTCTCCACACTCTGAGCTCATCGGGCCTTATTGGGAAGCAATCACAGTGCCTCGTGGCTGCAGCTGTCCTGCCAGAGGTGGTAAGGCTCATGCTGACAGCCCTGCCTGGCTGCTGCAGTGTTCCTTGCCCCTGGCAAAGAGCTCCACAGAGAGCACAGGAGAGGCATATGTATGCCCAGTTTGCCAGTTTGCATATTTCCCCTGCTGTCCCTTGCTGTGGGCAAAGCTTACAGCTTTGCCATTGTTATGGGCTTTGAAGGAAGCGTTTTTTCCTTTGAGGACGTTGGGTGAGTTCCTGTGGGCATTGTTTTGAGGAGTACTGGGTAAAGATAGTTTTTTCTTTGTTTTAGTTTTTTAATAACAACAAATCATGAATTAATTTGCTGTACACAGAGGCTAAACAAAGGGAAACAGCCCTTGGGGGAATTAGCTTCGACAGCGGTTGGCAGCCAAAAGGCAGAAAACATTTGCCACCACACTTAGAAAGAAGAATGCTTGTTTGACTGGGTTTTAATTTTTTTTTTTTTTTGTCACCCAAAGTCTCTTGCCTTTGCTGGTACAAAGATAAGCCTGTCCACACCCTGGCAACCCTCCTTCCTGAAGTCTTGGTTCACTGGTGACAAAACTTCCCTTTACGGTAAGCATGAGGTTCAGGGTGGCTGGGTTGACAGAGGACAACTGGTACCAAGTGAGTTGCTCACACAGAACGCTGCACAGAGAGGCGGAGTTCCCTAAGAGCACCACTGAGCAATCTAGCATTTGTGCAAGTTCTGGAACAAAAGCATGAGCGATTTCAAGCTGGTTTTTTTTTTTATGCTTTCTGGAATATATCAGGCTTTTGCTTTCTTAGAATTTTCATAGGACAGTAACAAAATAACCACCAACGTCGGCAGTGGCTGTTCTCACTCTTGATTGTATCTGTGTCATTCTGGCTTCGCCACAGCTGGGGATGGCACTCCGTGCTGGATCACTCTGTGTGGAATGAGTGAACTTACAAACCACGACAGTAATAGAGTAAAAAGACTCAGGGAAATTCAAATAAGGTGGAGACAGCAAGGGATGATGGCACACAGTATCCCAGCCCCCTCGGAAGTGGCACAATTACTGCAAGTGAGCAGTTGATACCAGTAGCTGTGTGGGCACCAAGCCATTTCAGCCTGTGTGTGTCAGGTCACATGCTCTTCCTTAGAAAAATAGTAGTGTTTTTCCACTGTCAAGAATAACCAACCACCCCCTTTTTTAGTAAAAAAATGTTCCTTATTTTATAATAGAAATATTGAAAAGTAGATGATAATTTAAAAGAAAACTGCTATTAACAATGGTTTGGTAATACGACTAGGCAAATTACATATGTGCTTGTGTTGTACGTAGAATGGTAGTGATTAGACCACAGATTCTAATGGATCGATCTGCAGAAGGCTTTCATTGGAGCAGCGGAACGAGGAAAAATATATGGCAATGCAAAACTGGAGAAAATCACTTGTTTCTTTTTCTTCCCTTCCTTTTTCTATCTTTATTCTTTACTGACAGATCTGTAGACAAATTCTTCTTACTATTACTAAAATATGCATCAGGGTAGGGAATCCTGCTTCAAATAGCACCGTCAGAGAGGTGATGCCAGTTCATGTTTGGAGGAACATGCTGTTTTCTTGGTTTCAGGTTTGCAGTGATCTGAGTTTTCCAAAGCAAAGGGAATGCAAAAGCAACAAGAAAGGGAAAGGTTTACAAATGCCGTCATTGAGAAAAACTGCTGATTGAACATTGAAAAACCAACAGAGTCCTGTACTTAGCACATGAAGTCTACCCAGGAAAGTGCCAGATCAAAGTGGAATAATGGAGAATCTTGTCCAGCACAGAGCAGAACTCATGCCCTACACACAGCACACACAACAAAGAGGATATGGAGAGCAGAAAGCCAAACATTTCTCTAAAATCCAGGTAAAAGTTTCTCTTCATTGAGGAAAGAGGGGCACCCAAAATTAGTCTGTAATTATAACTGTAGATATATATGACTTGTTAATGAAAATACATCTCCTACTCAGTTGGTATATACCATGGACTGGAAGGTTGTGGCTTCCCAAAGTTTCTATGATGAAACTCTAATTCCCAGGGTGAGGGTATTTGATGATGAAGCCTTAAGGAGACAGTTGGCATTAGATGAAGTCATAAATGCGAGGTTCCATGATGTTACTATTATGTTATGTCTCTGAGGGGTGTTTTGCTAAGTGAAATAAGTCAGAGACAAGCCAATGACTGTATGATCTCATGTAAATATGATATATATATATGAACACACACATACACACACACACACACACACACACACACACGTCTTACAGAAATAACAGCTACAAAGGTAGTTTCCAAAGGCTGAGCATAGGGTGGGGTGAGGAGGGAAGGCCTGAGCAAACTCTAGAAAATTTCTCAACCTTCCTAATGCAGTGACCCTTTAATAAAATTCCTCATACTGTGATGACCCCCAAGCATAAAATTATTTCATTGTTACTTCAGAACTATAGTTTTGTTACTGATATGAATTGTACTATAAATATCTGATATGCAGGATGTCTGATATGTGACCCCTAAAGGAGTTGCAACTCACAGGTCAAGAGGCGCTGGACTAGAGGAATGGAAACCTGTCTTAGTTATCTACTGAAATCTGTGACAGCTAGATAGTCATAGTGTAGTGTGTATTTCAAGACTTCTGAAAGAAAGCCTTTAAAACGTTCTCATCAAGGACACACACTCGGGAGTGTAAGCTAAATGTGCACAATTATAAACTTTGAAAAGAATAACAGGAATAAAATTAGAAGAGACAGACAGCAAGGACTATAGACCCTCTCTACTCTCTGCCTCTGAGCCAGGAGGGAGACCCTCACCATTACACCCCATGAGCAGATGCCTTGATCTTGAACTTTGCAGTCTCCAGTACTGTGAGAAATGAGCATTTAAACCAGTGGTTCTAAACCTGTAGGTCACAAACCCTCGAGGTGTGAAATGACCCTTTCACAGATATCCTATATATCAGATGTTTGCATCCTGACTCATAACAGTAGCAAAATTGCAGTTCTGAATAGCAATGAAAATAATTGTATGGTTTGGAGCCACCATAGGATGATGAGCTCTACCAAAAGGTCACATTAATAGGAAGGGGGCAAGAACCACTGATTTAAACCAACCAGTCTGTAGTATCTGTAGTAACTTGTCATAACAGTCAGAACTAAAATACTGCTAATAAATATTGTCACAGGAATTAAGTCCCTTCACTCTCACAAATGTAATAAAACAGTACAAAGGCACATTGTTGAGAAAGGCCCAGGTCCCAGGAAGACTCAAGGATTTGGGGTAGAAGCCTGCTAGCAGCTTCACTGGGTTGTTCCCCACACAGCACCTTGTCACACAGTGCCTCTCTATCCATATGTATCTGTCGCCTTACCCTTGCACTGTCAAGGCTCTCATGCTTTCCACTTCCTATTTTTTATAACATGAAGCAGTTGATTTGATGTCTCTGGTGCTGCCTGACATCAAAGCTATGCCTTGCATTTCCACAGCCTCCCAGACCCTGGGGAAGGGCTCCCATGTTTGGACTTTTGTGGATGTATCTCTCTTCTTCACTGTGCAAGTGTCACCTCTGAGTCATCTCATTATGTCTTCTTCATTCTCTCTGGTGCCGAGAAAGAATGAATCCCAAGTCCTTTTCCTCTTCCAACCCTTGAGACCGTTTTACAACCTTCTTATCTGAAAATGGGGTTAGTAATGGATTCCATCTGGTCTGGTTTCAAAATTAAAGATAGAAAAGTGGAGCGTGAAGATTCCCTAGACTGTTACCAGAGAGTTCCAGGTTTCTGCTGCCTCCTTTTCTGTGAAAATATCCCACTCAAGAGCATGCATCAGCTCTCTGGGCCCAGTTACTTACAAAATGAAAGGGGAGAGAAACACGAGCTTGGATTTGTCAGCTGCAGTGATGGTCAGCTTCTCTCAGGGAAACAGGAAACACTGTGCCATAGTCCAGCTCTATGGAAAGAGAGTTTGAGATATAATAAGCCTAGCCAATGAATGATTTATCTTCTCTCTAAGATCTGGAGCCAAGAAAACATGCTCTGGAGACCGATAGTGACTTATTAAGTGGGCCAGAGAGGATGCCATTTTAGTCCCTGGAATATCTTTTGAGCCTGATAGAAGCTCAGGGTAAATATTTTGAAAAAATATGACTTCATCATCTTTGTATAAAGTATTTTAGAGACTCCACTATATCCTTTCCTTTTCTATAGCTCTCTCTAAAAGAAAAAAAACATTAGTTTCCCCAAGATTAGATATTAAAACATAAATATTGTCTTTCATAGCAGAAATTTCACCCATGTGGTATGCTTTGGAGGGATAGTCAGGTACATTTATCTGTGTGATAACAATATGTTGAAATGTTGCTGTAGTTTTCTTCCGTAGTCTTTCTTTGTTGTCTTTTGCAGAATCACTGGCTAGGAATTTATGTATTCAGGGAAGGAAAAACCTAATGTAATAGGAAGAGCTTAGCACTGGAATTTCCTTGGGATTATTGGGTTTTAACAGGCATGGATAAAAGCAGGTGGGACCCATGGACAAAAGGTACACAATTAATTCTCTAGTAAATGTTCTGGGGAGGGACTGTGTACCATTAAGAATATGGCTACAATCTAGTTATCCAGTGGTGTGGGAGAATTATCTGTATTCTGTCAATCATGTATTTTAATAAAACGCAGATTGGTCAGGCAAGAAGTATAGGCGGGTCAACCAGACAGAAAGTAGAGGTGGGGCAATGAGAACAGGAGAAGACTAAGAAGAAGGAAGCCCATTCCTCCATTCCTGCCCAGACCACAGAGAAGCAAGATGTAACCTGCCCCACTGGAAAAGATACTGAGCCACATGGCTAACACAGACAAGAATTATGGGTTACCGGAAGATGTAAGAATTAGTTAATAAGAAGACTGAGCTAATGGGCCAATCAGTTTATAATCTTATAGAGTCCTGTGTGTGATTTTCTTTGGGACTTGCCGGCTGTGGGGTAATGGGCAGGACAGATACCCCAACAAACTCGCCCTCATGTTACAATCCAGGCTGTTAATCACCTCTCAGAGTTTCTTATACCCATGGTGCTAAGAATCAACCATAGAACAAGAACATGGAGAAAAAAGGCATTGAATGGCATTAGGCCATTAATTAGGCATAAGCCAATAATAATCTCTACATTTTTGGGTAGGAGAACTAGCAACCTGAGAATTGAAGCCATAGACACACGCTGGGGACCTTTTGCTATAGGAAACCTTCAGGGGTGATAAGAAGCCAGTGGATTTTTTTTTTTTTGGCTCACAGTTCAGGGGATACAGCTGAGCAATTATGGCAGTGGATGGTTGCTGGCTCACATCACATTAGATCCAGAAGCAGAGAAAGGGAAATTCTAGTGTTCGGCTGGCTTTTCTCTTTTCCCTTTCTTATTCAAACTGGGACCTTAGCCCTGGGATGGTACCTCTCACGTTCAAAGTAAACCATCTTCCCTCAGTTAATCCTGGGAACATATCCAAAGCTGTACCTCATTAACGTTTTAGGCATTTCTCAGGCCAGTCAAATTAATAGTGAAGATCACTCATCCCAAGCCTACCCCTTATCAACTTGACACACAAACACACCCCTTTAAAACCACAGTATTCCACCCTGGTCCCTGTGCATTCATTGCCATAAGTAATGTGAAATATATCCAGGCTAACCTCAGAAATAGTCACAGATTCGAATAGTCCCTACATTGTTACAAAGTTCAAATCCTCTCCTGAGAGTCAAAACAAAGGCTGAGTGGTGAGACACAGTGATTTGCTTTTTTCAGAAGTTACAATCTTTCCATATAGAATATCAAGCGTAAACATTCCCAGGAGGGTAGATCAGAGGGACTGGAGAAAACCAAACTCCAAACCCAGCAAGGCAAACACCAAATCCCACAGCTCTCCATTCAGCAGCTGAGGTCTTGGTGGACACATGGGGACTCCAGCATGCTTCATGGGCCCCATGCTCCCAGCTTTACGTGGCCCCGCCCTTGGGCCAGCTCCACTGCCCACCCACAGCCTTCCAGGGTCCCGAGGTCTCTGCTGTGGCTTAGGCCTCCCTTTCACAGCTTTGCACAGTCTTCATCCACTTATGGAAAATCCAACTCGGCCACAAACTTCCTGGCCTGAGAGGTTTTCTGAAAACCTGACATAAACCTCTATGACACCCTTCCTTTTTGTGTGCTGGATGTTTACCAAACCAGCACCACACAGATGACACGGCCGAGCCTGGCTACCAGCTTCTTAAGTCATTTGACTCCCTTCTAGTGTAGCTGTGGTAACCTCTGTGTGCCCAGGGCCTGGATTTGCAAAAACCCTTTCTCAGGAGGTTGTTTTCGAACAGGGACCTACAGCAGCAGCGTTCTGAGTTGAGTCTCTCCCCTTTCAAATAGTTTTCATATTTATGATGGAAGCTCCTGAAGGGTGGAGACTTAGCCCCTTTCGACATCGCCACAGGGCCGGGTGTGAAGTTTCTCTTTATTTGTGGTATCAGTCGCCCCAGAGCCGGGTGTGAAGTTTCTCTTTATTTGTGGTATCAGTTTCATAGTTACCACTGCTTGGTCTGAAGCTGTGTTGTCTGTAGTGTTAAATTGGCCCATGGCTCTTTCCTCACCAAACTGCAGTCCCACACACCTCTCTCTGCTTGCTCCCTTTCTAAATAGGCTCAAGAACAGTGAACTAACTAGGCCACAGTTTGAAAGTAACACTCTCTGGAAAATTCCTCCATCAGACTAGCCCATTGTAATAGTTACTTTTCTCATTGTTGCCACAGAATGTCTATCAAAGACAATTTAGATAAGGAAGGGTTTTATTTCGGCTCACAGTTCCAGGGATGGCTATTGGAGCTTGAGGCAGCTGGTCACCATGAAT